GCTGATCTATTTGGCGCTGATCTATGTGGTGCTGATCTATGCAGTGCTGATCTATGCAATGCTGATCTAAGCGGCGCTGATCTATGTGGTGCTGATCTATGCGATGCTGATCTAAGCGGCGCTGATCTATGCGATGCTGATCTAAGCGGCGCTGATCTATGTGGTGCTGATCTATGCAGTGCTGATCTATGCAATGCTGATCTAAGCGGCGCTGATCTATGTGGTGCTGATCTATGCGGTGCTGATCTATGCGATGCTGATCTAAGCGGTGCTGATCTATGCGATGCTGATCTAAGTGGTGCTGATCTATACGATGCTGATCTAAGCGGTTCTGATCTATGTGGTGCTGATCTAAGCGGTGCTGATCTATACGATGCTGATCTAAGCGGTTCTGATCTATGTGGTGCTGATCTATGCGATGCTGATCTATGCGATGCTGATCTAAGCGGACTGTTTAGGTCGTTGTTGTTTTGATCTGAGGGACCTGCACCGCCGTACGGAGACTGTTTGTGTTTTTCTGTTCTCCACCCGGCTGCAGGACAACGTCTCCTACGGGAACAACAAACAAAGACTGACTGGATGTCTGTGGAGCGCCTTCAGGACCCGATCGGGGCGGTTCTGGGACCGGGTCCGGATCAGGGCTGGACGGAGGTCAGACTCACGTTGTAACCCATGGTGGTGGCGAAGGTGTCGGCGATCCAGGACATCTCGCGTTCTCCGGTGCTCATGTCTGGAGCAGGAACGTCGATGCCGGGGCCTTCAGGGCGACAGACAGAACCGTTTGAACAGAACCGTTAGAACAGAACTGGACCACCCTGACTGAAGGTCAGAGGCAGCAGGCTCAGCGCTAACGGTACCAGCTAACTCTGGGTAACCAGGTTCTACAGAACGGCGGGTCGCTTTACTCTGGACCTATCCAGAACCTCTGAACTGGTGCTGCTGCATCTCAGCGTTCAGACCCATGGGTTCAGAACCTCCTGGGATGTTCTGGTTTTGGTCTAACAGCTTCTCCTCCAACATGGATGCTAACTCCACAGTCTAGATCCGGGAGGACTGGGTGAATCAGAACCTTCTCCAGCTCAGAGCCCAGATGGAACCACTTCAGGTCCAACCTCCTCATGTGAGATTAGGACCTGGACCATAAAGGTCCGGTTGGTCTCTGAGCTGCTGGTCAGGCAGGAACCATGTAGAACCTTTAGGTCCTCAGAGACCAGCTGGGTCTTTGTTCACAGAACCAGAACCAGAGGAGGTGAGGAAACATTTATTTCCTCAGAGCAAACTGCCTGAAGACTAGAACCGGTTCCTGAGACCACGTCTGTTTACTGCGGTTCCAGATCATCAGAACCAGAACAAATCAGAACCTGGAGGTTGACTGAATGTTTTTCTTTAACCTTTGATGTTTACGTTGTTCTGGTGTCAGTCTGACCCGAGTAGAACCGGGCAGAACCGGGTTTTCTGAACAAACTAATCACATTTTTCCAGTTCAGTCTGTTCTGATCGGGTCCTGCTCCGGACCCGGATGCCCGGTCTGAGGGAGAACCGGATCAGTGGGGTCAGTCTTTAACTACTGTGTCCTCTGAGGCGGGCTTGACCAGAACCAGCCGGCCCGGTGGGCTCACCGATGAATCCCTTCTTGGCCAGCTCGATGGTGAACCTCCTGGTGATCTTCTCCAGCTCAGCGTCCTGAAAAACAGACATGAAACTCAGAGGGTGACGTGCTGCAGCGCCCCCTGCTGCCCGCCTCCACCCACTGCAGACAGCTGCTTATTCCAACCCAGAGGAACCGGTCTAACCGGGTCAGAACCATGGCAGGAGCTTCTAACAAAGAGCCGGCTTTACTCAGCCGCTCCTTTATTTGGTTTGTAGGCGGCCATGTTCAGACCTCCTGTTCTAATCAGGACGGGTTCTACAGAACCAAACTGTTAAAACCAGCTGTGTTTTACAGTGGATCGGAACCGGACCAGATCACCCATCTACAGCCAGCAGTGGCAGGGATCTAAGCAGAACCTGAGGTCCAGTTCTTCTCAGGACCAGTAGGTAGATCTGGTTCTGATGTTCTGACCCAAACATCTGAGCTGCTGGTTGTTCTTCTGGGGCTTTCTGAGCTCCTTTCTTTGGTTCTGGTCCAGATTTGGGTCCGGTTGTTTTTCCAGAACCAATTCAGGATCCAGAGTTCCTTCTGCAGGTAGGCCCACTCTGACCGGTACCAGCCGGGTTCTGTTGGGCCCGTTTTCGCAGCAGCTTACGGTGTAGTTCTTAGTGTTGATCTTGACTCCGGCTTTGGCTCCTCCGAACGGAACATCTGGAACAGCAGGTTCTGGTTAGAGTCAGGAAGCGGGTCACGGGTCGTGTTCTGTGTGTGCGGTACTGACCCACGATGGCGCATTTATAGGTCATCAGGGAGGCCAGCGCTTTGACTTCGTCCACGGAGACGTCGGTGCTGTACCGGATCCCTGAAACACAGAACCAGCAGCTTCAGCACCCGGAACCAAAGCCCAGAACCGGTCCGAGGCAGTTCTGATTAATGATCCTGGGCCAGAACCAAAGGTTCGCCTCAACAGAACAGATGTGAGTTAAATAGATTGGCTTTGATTGTTCCACTGTCCTTAAAAAAATGAGAAAATTAAGAATTTCTAAAGAATAAAATAAAAACAGAACCTTTCAGTCCAATCAAACCCGTTTGATACCAGAGCAGCTTCTGATACCATCAGATCTATAAATGGTATCGGATCTATACTGCGTCTCTACTCAGATATTCACCTCAGTCTAAAGGATCTGGAAGAATCACAGACTTTCAAATCTATTAAATCCAACATTTATTCTACATTAAAATATGAAAAGGAATCGGAAAGAACTACGGATTCTAGATCTAGATTTAAGATGAACAGAGCGAGCGGCTTCAGCAGAACCTGCACCTGATCGGTCGTCTGTCGTTTTACACAAATCAGACCCAAAACAGAATAAAAACAGTGAAAAAAATAGAAATAAAAATAAAAAGCAGATCAACTTTTCAGATTAAAAACAAAGAAGCAGTTTTAAACCAATGGGAGTAAAAGCGGTTCTGGTCAAACAGCTGCTGAGGAGGCTGACCAATAGGAAGTAGTTTTATTTTGAAAATCCTCCCCAGTTTCTGCTGAACTTCAAATTTCAACTTCTAATTTTTCAGTGTTTGATCCACAGGAACCAGAACCAGAACCAGAACCAGAACCAGTCCTGCTCTGCTCTCCATGGAGCCTAACCGAATCGGACCTCTAGGTCCGGTCAGAACCAGAAGGTCCGTTTGGATTTGGTTCAATGAATAAAGGAAAAACTGAACCAGAGGTGCTGCTGCCTGCCGTCCCGGTAGAACCAGTGGGACCGGTTTGATCCGAGCCCAGCAGCCGACCCAGACCGGTTCTGATCCGGCTGGAAAATCAATAGCAGCTCAGGTCCAAACTCGTGTTCAGGGTTAAAGTGGGTCACCTGGAGTTCTGACGGGTCACCTGGAGTTCTGACGGGTTCTGAGACGGCAGCTTCAGCTCAGATTAACCCATTTATCATGAGGTTCTGGTGCCGTGGGTCAGCTTCTGCGACACCTTCTGGTTCTGGTCCGGTCCTGCTGACCGACTGAACCGGACTTAATCCAGACGGTCCGACTGACGGAACACAAACCTGTTCTACACCCAGAACCAGAACCGGACCCTACCAGAACCCAAACGCCTTCTGAGCCGCAGTAGAACCCGAAACCAAACCGGACCTCCTCCTGCCGGGAGGCCGACCCGGTTTCTGCTGACAAACTGGACCAGATCTGAGCAGCAGAACCAAGAAACCTGAACAGAACCATTCTAATGAACAGAACCCCAGGATGTTCAGAAGAGCCGAACCAGAACGTCAGCATTCCTGACCGGTACCAGAACCACGAAGGTGCCACAGAACCCTGAGCCCAGTCAGAACAGAACCTCAGTCTGCTGAGACCATCAGAACCACAGAGATTAAGCTGCTGGTTCTGAAAAACCAGAACCATAGCAGAATCCTGAAAACCCAAATGTTTTCATCCAGAACCGGTTCTAGGTTCTAAAGCTGGACAATAACAACCAAACCTTCCTTTTTTATCAGTTTATACGGTTCTGATCCGGATCCACAGATCAACAGAACCAAACTGTTCTGCCTGGGCCCGGTTTGTGGGTCCGATCCGTTATCAGAAACCTTCTGGTTTCTGTTTCCTTCGGCTCCATGGAAGAACCATTACTACGGATCCAACAGAACCGGTCCAGCATGGAAACACTGGGGTCCAGAACTCCACCAGAACAGTTCTACTCCAGCCCTCAGAACCAAGGATTGGGTTCTCTGCAGAACCACTGAAACCGGGTCACAGACTGTCATCATAACAAACACATTTAGGAGGTAAAGAAACCCAACAGAACCAATCAGAACCCATCAGAACCGAGCCTCTATAGATGCTGTGATCCATGGAGCAGGTCGGTTCTGATCCATAATCAGTGGGTCAGTCCATAGAACCAGATCAGAACCGCTGCAGGAGGTTCGGTTCTGCTGGGACCGGTTCTGATCCATTAAGAAGCAACAGAATAATTTTTTTTTTTTTAAACTAAAGAAAATCGGTTTTTAATCTTTATGCTGTTTTTAGGAGACAATAAAAATCCAATATGGAGGAAAATGATCATTAATTATAATAGTTGAATAAAGAGTTTAAATCTGATTAAATCTGTGCTGCTGAGGGGCTGACTGGGTTCGGGTCTGACCTCCCTACTGGGTTCGGGTCTCACCTCCCTTGCAGGGCGTGCGGTGCTGGCTGTGCTGCGCCCGGTACGCCTCTATCACCTCCCACTCTCCGCTGTCTCTGCGGATCGGGAAGCTGAGGCTCAGGACGTGGTTACAGGGCTTGATGATCCGCAGGATCCCGCGGACCCGCTTCCTCTTCTGCTCCGGACTCTCCCGGGTCCTCAGGTCCTCCACCAGCTTGTCCTCCACGATACCGGCTCCGCGGTCGAAGAAGCCCTCCACCATGGTGAAAAAGTTCGGGTCGTCGCTCGGGTCCACCGCCTGGCTGTAGCCTCGGTGCCGCAGCAGGGAGGAGGCCGGGAGGAGCGTGTCCGCGGCGGGGTACAGACCCCCCGCTCCCCGGGTCAGCAGTCCTCCGAGGTACCTGTACATGTTGCGGGAGGGAAGGAGGTCCAGGAAGTGGGGCGGCAGGAGGTGCAGGTCTGCCCCAGCAGCAGCCGCTCCTCCCCCCAGCCGCCCTTTCCTGTAGCCGCCGCTGCGTGATAGGACAGGCGCGCGCTGCTCATCAAAGCGACCTGCAGGGAGCGGCGCGCGGCGGCGGCAGCTAGCCGTTAGCTTAGCTCCACATTAGGCCGGAAGAGCCGCGGAACTGATAATAATACCACATTAAACCGTTATTTAATCACACAGTCAAAACAAAGCGGCCTGAGAGGAAACTTTAACGAACTTTAAAGGTTTAATTCAACTTTTCAAACAACGTAAAACAGCGAAAAAGCAGTTGCTGCGTACTTCCGGTAACATTTCAAAATAAGTGCTCATAAATTAGTAGAAACTGTTAATAACCGCAAAACGGATGTTAATGTTCTCAGCGGTAGTTACTGAAGTAAAACTGAGAACTTGAGCATCAAACCTTTAAATTATATTTGGTCCAGTTTTTATCCAGTGGTGGACCGGATGGCTCTTTACCCAGGGCGACACTGGTCTGAGGTCAACCCAACAATTACCCAGTTTTTACTGAACTCACAGTTTCTACTAATGTCATCTATAGCACGTGTCTCTTATGGCAGCTGCAGGGCGCCGCCGTGCTGAGGTGGGTCTAGATGGACTCTATGGAGGGCAGGAATAACAAACACATGCAATAGAACATTGTTTACTATCTAACTGGAACCCAGAGGCCAAGCGTGCAGACTCCTGATCTAACAGATTAGAAGAAGAACTGTAACTCTTAATACGGCTGAAGCTTAAAGCTGACTGTAATTTATAAAGAATTGCTGATGTAAATCATAAAGAGGAAATATCACTTTATTTCATGGGATGAATCAGCAAAAACTGATCATCTCAGCTGATAAAAACAAGTAAAAATGTCCTGAAATAAATTGATTAATAAGATCTATGCAGATGAAATAAGATGATGAAGTTGTATTTTTTTCTTATTTTGATTCTGTTCCTGATTGCAGCACCAGGTACCCAGGATGCAAAGTGACATCTGTGGACATTTCCCTTTGTTTATTTGCATCTTCCCTCCTCAGGCGTTGGATGACGCTGCGCTGTGGATGGTAACCATGGGCGCCTGATAGGTGAGGATGGTTTCTGATTGGCTGGAAGGAAAACTGGTTTTCAGCATCTGATCGTCTCAAACTCAAGCTCTGGGGTTTTTATCTGTGAGTGAAAATACCAAATTATAATTTCAATGTGCCCTGTGTCAGACTGGCCACCTGTCCAGGCTGGACCCGGCCTCTAACCCATAGACTGACGGAGATAGGCACCGCCCACTACCACCCTGAGGGAAGACAGAGAAGATGGAGGGATTTTTTAATGCTGGTGAATTTGGTCCTTGCTGGTCCTTGGTTGGTCCTTGGCTGGTCCTTGGCTGGTCCTTGGTTGGTCCTTGGCTGGTCCTTGGTTGGTCCTT